ATCGAACCCGAGACACTGCAGTCGCATACGGTACCCGTGCACCACCGAGGCAATATTTTAAATATATTAACAAGCGTACCGATGAGGACTTTTTTATCATTTTAACCATGGGCTGTGGATCTGATCCACTGGATCATCGGCCACAGGTCTTAGAAATTTAAAATTATTTTCTTAACTATGTACCTTGTATTAAAGTTTCTAAGAAGTCAGAACGCGTTGAATAAGTATGTATGTATACTCGTACATGTCTGTATTATTTTAACCAACATTAATTTACCTAGTTTTGTTAAGCTATTGCATAGCTTCTATCGAGGGCCTTGAGCGCGGGGACCGAATCCCGAAATTCCGTAACGAAAAAAAACCTCACGCTAAAAACAAAACAAAAAACAGTACCAAAATCAAATGCTGAACGTCAAAGGAAATTTCGTCAACATAATGCAGAAAAATCTTACATGGATATGTAATTTGATTTAATAATAATATTTTTTATTTATTTATTTAAAAACAAATTGTAATATATGCTTCAATCTTTTTATTTAATAAAAGAAAAAAAAATGTTTTCTTATCGGTCACCACGCTCAAAAAGTGTAACTTGAATTTATATCAAAGAAAAAGAAATACTGCATAAATAAAATAAATAAATAATTATAATTGCATAAGTTGATACAAAATGCTATGCAATAGCTTTACCGCGGCAGTCCCCGAGTGCCACACGTCTTTTTTTTTATTCATTGATAAATTAGCCTTTTTATTTAATTATGTTTTATATATATTGAAATTACCGCTGATTTTACCGTTCAATGCGGTGTTCTTGTTCCATAATTTTTGCAAATGGCGTCGGACCGTATTGATAATTATATACCATTTCCAATAATTATATTTTATTGACAAAGGACTTAAGGTCGATGAAGTAGTCTAAATGATACTAATTCACTTAAAGCGAATACAAAAAGATTGCTTAAGAAACAACCTGTAAGTGTAACTTGTAAAAAATATAAAATATCTTATGAAATCGAATTAAAATGAATATTATTAAAGCACCATGGAGTGGTATTGAGTCACATCACAAGGCAGTATGACAATACTTTTTGGTTGTTTATAATATTAGTACTATGTGCGGAGATTTCTAATCTGAAGATTCTTTATAAAGATTATCTAGACAATTTCTTGAAACATCTGTAACAAAGTCAGCAACAAATTAACAAGATTAACCATTAATTATTATAAATACAGTTATCGAGTGGCCGAAACTGCGCTAATGAGTGTTCAGCATTCGCAATCTCGCGCCATCTGTGTCTAATCAACGAATCGAGTTAATTAAAACGCTTGGCAATATGGCGTCGGGGTGTAATTGCTATTAATAAAGTGCTCTCCTGTATAATTAGACGGCTACGCGCGCGGATTGGCTGCTTGGCTGGCCCTAATCACAACGTGATAACATACCGCTAATGGTGTGTGCCTTAGCCTTATACTGCGTAACCAACCCAACTACTTCTGAATTGTATTTTTATTTATCATACATACACGTGCCTGCATATAGTTAGGTGCATACATGTAGATTTACACAGTACGATACTTGAAAATTTAAAAATGTTTTTAACATTGTTTAATAATATTGAACTCTACCACATTCCAGATATTGCATAGCATATGCGACCTATACAATTGTTGTTTTTAATTATGTGTCAAATATTAATCTATTTTACTTAAATTAGATAATACTTTTTTATCTGATATGTATATCAGATAAAAAAGTATTCCTATAAACATGACAGATTTGACTAATTTACAAATACGCAAGTCTTTACAAGAACATATTTAAAGGATTTATGGTTGACCAAAAATTCAAATGGTCCATAGAACAGATTTATCAAATAAGACGGCGAAGAAAACAATGATTGACGAGTTCGCACCTCGCGTCGTGCCTTTCTAATTAAGACGACATGCGTGCGTGCACTGTTGCAACTCTTCTCGCTCGTTTGACTCACAACAAACACTCATATTCTTCAGCATCTCTGTCCAGATTAATAGTACCTCATTTTTGCATCACAAATAAGATTTAGTAAATAGCCACTTGGTTTTAATGCCAGAATATAATATATAAATTACAATCGACAACGGACATGGACATTTCGTTGCCCAGATAAAAATATACTCCTAGAGCCGTTTATAGCTAAGAACTTTAATCCGAATAATACTAATCTATTACGGAGGATTATTTACGACACACTTGTAAATTTCAATCATAGAAATTTACTTTAACAATGTCGTAACGATAAAAGCGCGTTGTAAACGGGCGCCTCTTATTTCTGTCTTCAGTACATGCTCATTAAAGCGTCTCATACGACTCAATGTTCTTTTGCTCTCGTTTGCTGTTCCGCTAACTTTTGGGTGGTAGGATGATGGACGACGTCGGTGCTCATATATCATTGCGGTAATATATCGCGCGGTGCGCCGAGTGTCGCCATTAACGCATGCGCGCAATTGCCCGTGCTTGCAAGCGCATGCACCATCGCGACTGCTATAAGTATAATCATACAAATCGACGCTCGCGACCACAGCTAAACGTGCATAAATCTTATTAATGGCATTCTTATTTTCGTCCTCACACTCGATCTTGTAAAATCATTAGAATGTGTAGAACGGCTCTAATGTCGACAGTCGTCGTTTCGTCTTTGTTAAAGTTCTCCGATTTTATAGGTTCTAATAAAATTTATAAAGGAATCTACCAATCAATCTATATTGTAAATCATAATAGTATACACAACACTGACGACGAACTGGGTGGTCGATAGTCATCAGTTATGAATGTTCTTGTAGCTGGTAGGTCATAAGCCGCATACCGTTTGCGCAAGTCTGATGGCGAATTGTCAAACTGACAGTGTCGACAAAAAGTGAGAGGCTGATAGATGAAGCCGCATCTCAGCTTACAGCTAAAGATTTGTTGTTTCCGTTCTCGCCGCCTCAATGACTACCATTTTATGTCGATTAGGAGATAGTGTTTCAAGCGGCCGCTACCGACACCAGTTTTTGTAACACTCCTTTCTGCTTACAACGAGTTTATTATCATTGATCAGCTGCTGTTGGTTATTTTTTGTGATTGCTATTTGAATGGTTGTTCTAGGCTTATTCTTTTTTTAAGTTTGTACTAACTATTATGTGAAGTCCCCTTTTCAAATTAGGTATGACAACAGGAAACCGCAGTGGCATAGTAAAATGCAATAAGAGCTATTACCGCCGACCAACCGCAAGCAATTCCACTCAGGGAACAAAAACATACACCTTTACAAAAATGTTTCCCATTCATCTTTCTCGAAACGGAGACATTAAAGAATGTCTATGTTAAGAAGGGGAAGGGGACGACAGCTTAGTATCAAAGTCGTTTGAAACGATTCACGTTGAGCCTTTATTTTGCTGTACGGCATAACTATATTGTATTCGAATTTGAACCTTATGTTTGTTTGGTATTAGGATTTTTTATTTTTTTATGGTAAATATTTATTATTACTGACAATGTATGTATCTGCGGTAGGAAAAAGGTACCTAAATATAGACAGGCCAACCCTCTTAAGTAGGGACTACATTTATTGAGGGACACGCTACAGTGATGCGCTATTTAGAAAATATGAACAGGGTTTTTCTTGGATTTCTCTTAATAAACCTGAAAAGTTGGTTTAATTTAAGACGGCCCTTCTAATGTATCGTTATAAATAAATTGATCAAATTAGCAGTATTACCACCTTAATGTTCTTGTTTCAATTAATAGATTTTATTTTCTAGGAGATATACAAGCTCTTGTTAATAATTGACGAAGTAATATAATTAAAAGACACTGCTCTTAAGAAGTTATTAAGATGACTAAGAAGTATGCGGTGGGCAGTACAATCTTCTGTATTTGTTTCTAAGTAAATGAGTAACCAGTTTCCTCTTCTATATTAGTATTTATTGTGCAGAGTAGGTACTGTTTGTGTGTCATGTAGAAGAGATTAAATTAGACTGTTGAAACGCTAGACCTTATTAAGAGAATTCGCCTTTGGGCAGAAAGATATTATGGTGCATAAAACGATGGATTAATTCGAGAGTCATTAACGTAGAGATCATATTGTTTCTAAATGATATATATTTTCGTGCCGTACCGAGGTCGAGTAAGAATTACATGCGTTAATTTTCAATACGATGACGCCAGCTTTTAATGAGCGAAAGTAGATTTGTGTCGGTCTCAGTGAACGATAATTTCTGTCCAACCGAGTAATTGTCGAATAATTGCGTTAATGTGAAAATATACGGTTTAACATAACAATGGGACGAGGAAGTCGATAATATACAAATATGTATTGTTATACTGTTAGTTTTGCTTTCCGACGTTCAATTTTCTCCGTGCAATTTACTTTTTATGTTTACCTACAGTAAAAAAGCCTTAATTGGTAGTATTATTTTATTGCTACATTAATAATGGCAACACTTATAGTTCTTTGATACCTGTAATATTTTTGAGTCTCATTATATGTTAGTGTTTTTTCTTGTATTGTGTTTTGGGCTGATTAAAACTTTCTCTTGAGGTCCAGAATAGATTATAATAGGGTGTTGATTAAAAACATAATTGGAAAATACGAGTAGCTTAGATAACTAGGAATTAGAAAAATGTTAGCTCTAGTTTAAAAAAAAATAGATATTAGATTTTATAGTTTAGATCAAAGTTTTCAGTTTTTTATCCACAAACATGCGAAAGGCAAGTTGCCATAGTAATCCATACTTATATTATAAATGTGAAAGTGAGTTCGTTTGTTTGTTTGAGCAGCGGGCGAAAGCTAGTAGTATTTTAAAGTCAAATTATATTCTATACTTAATGAGGTTTGCAAGGAAACTACAAAGAAGAACGAAAATTATTCTAAAACAACTAAAAATAGATGAAATCAATTTAAAAAAAATATTTAGTCCCCTGTGGACATTTACAGAAGAAACTAGAAAGAAATAATTTGTTATTTTTTCTTTCTAGACGCATGTTTCCGACAGTGCGAGTATCGTTTGCGGGGTGTCGAGCAGAGGCGCGCTATGCCGTGCTGCTGGATGTGGTACCAGTGGATGGCAAGCGCTACCGTTACGCGTACCACCGCAGTTCGTGGCTGGTGGCCGGCAAGGCTGACCCACCAGCACCAGCTCGCCTTTATCCGCATCCAGACTCGCCCTTTTCCGGTGATCAGCTGCGCAAGCAAGTCGTCTCTTTCGAGAAGGTCAAGCTAACTAACAATGAGATGGACAAGAACGGACAGGTCAGAATTATTACGTAGTAAAATAAAGAATGTTTTTATTAAAAAAATATGATAAAACTGACGTTGATTTTGTTCTGTCTCACAGTTGGTCCTGAACTCAATGCACAAGTACCAACCCCGCATACATTTAGTGTTGAGACGAGAAGGTGCTATCAGCGCACCTATCACAGACCTTGAACAAGAGGAGTTCAAAACGTTTATTTTCCCCGAGTGTGTCTTCACAGCTGTTACCGCCTATCAGAATCAACTCGTAAGTACTATACATTAACCGACTTGGCACATTTTATTACTATTGATTTGTATTTGCCACGTATGCAGTTTATTTGGCATTAGGTGTTATCTTTTTATTTTGATCATTTGATTACTAAAATAGATCAGAGAGACAAGCGTTTGAAATCGCATAGCGCCGACCGACTGAGTATCGACGCATGCTATTTGAGTCGTACTAATTGCATCTCGCTGAAAGGTATGTCCAGCCTGAACAAAGGGAGGTGGCACATCATTTTTTGTGTATCGGTGGCCACACGCGGGCGTTCTCGACGACGGATGGATAGTGCGCCTGACGTGAGCACCACGGTGACGATTAAAGTTTTCACCCGAGCTAAATATAAAGTCTTAGTCGATGCCTGCGGCGATTGTGTCCAGACGTCTTAGCTATTAAAATTTGATTGACATTGCACTTTCCATATACAATTTGCTCATGATTTTTAGAAGTACAGAAGCACACATTGTAAGAACTACTAGTAAAATAAATGTTTTAATACCAATTAATAGTTCAGCATGTTTGACTCATTTGGTTGTTATGAAAGTAAACTTATCCAAAGTACCTTCCAAATTAAATTGAAGTAATTTTTTAGACTGACCGACTGATTTGATTTTGACTAATTACATTTTTTGTTCATATTGATTAAGTTTACACTTAAATTGGTATGTGATAATTTCCGCCTCGCTCGTCGCATCTCGCGAGCGACGCGACGGCGGTTTACCCTCGGCCGGTAGCGCACATGTCGCCACGCGCAATTAATTCTCTGTCACAAGAGCGTTTGGGCGTCTCCAAGTTCCTCGTTTTGTATCATCCCGCGTAGTAAAATAATTAGGACGTTTTGAGGTTCATAAAGGAAGCGTTACTTTACATCGACAACGCGCCACATAAATCTCCATTCACTCGTTAATTAGCTGTTACGGCGAGGTTTAATATTACCCTTTGTAGATATTTTGTATTTTAAAGAGATTATTGTTACGATGTTTCTTTTGGCTAATTTAATTTTTTTGCTTGGTTCAATGATAAGATTTAGTTGGTAGTCTACTTTGACATATTAAAAGTACAAAAAGGTGAATTTAAAATCACCAACAAAATAACAAACAATGTTTGGCAGAATCTTGCAACAACAAGCTTGAAGCTGGGGAGCCGTTCGAAGCGTACTTTGAAGCTCTACCTTCGCAGTAGGCTTCGAACGGCTCCCCAGGGTCGGTCGGTTATTGATTTTCATTGATTCTAACGTGTTTCTAGATTTACTACCAACGCATAGTGACAGTGCCATCTATTACGAATACTATACAGATAAGTGTGCAGTAGATCCGTAAATCTATGAAAATTTTTTATTTACATTTAAGATTGGAAAATCTATTTCTGTTACAGACATACTTATTAAAAAATAAAAGTGATATATTATAAGATTAAAATAGAGGCTTAAAATATAACAAGTTGATAAACTACTTCAAAAAGCAAAAAGTACGCTATCAGTGCCTTCGATCTGTGTCCAGGCGGTCGGCGCGGCCGCAGCACTGGCTCAATTTGGCTGACGTCACAGCTCTGACAGCTAAAACATTTGTCGAACAGCGGAGATAGTGTCATTGATAACTCAATCCCTTACAACAATAAGAACACACTTAGCATGTTTGCACCTGCACGACAACCAAGATCGATCGTAGTCCGCATAACTTATACCTAATAAAAATGCAGTTATACCTACATGTTAAAAAAAAATATAAATTCAAATCTTTAACAAACTAAGGCGATCGTGAATATTTAGCTGATATCTATGTTTTAAGGAGAGTGTCACCGAAATTTAATACCCAATAATTTGTTAAGTCGTCTCGAAATGAAACATCATTATTGGTGCTTTATCATATCGAAACGTTGATATAAGTGGAGATAAAACCTTGTACAAAAAATGTAAGCTGTGTTTTTTGTGTGTGTATCGCGGTGTGAGACTGAGCGTCGCCGTGCGCAGCGCGCGCGCCGCGGGGCGGTTTCCCTGGAAAGTGTCGAGGGCTCGACCCGCTTCAATATTTAACATTTTTACACCCACCACACCATTGTCATGGTGCTCGTTTTCTGTAGAACCCTTTGTCTGGAATTGGACTCGCAGCGAGGTGACAATGTTTGTTAGACTTTACGCATCCTCAATACACACAATGTGTTTTTTTATTATCCGATGACTTGTGAATTTGTTATGATCGATTGCCTCTAGAGGGTACTTTTGAGAAAAAACTTGCAGATAGTAAGTCTGCGTATTTTAGGTATCTAAACAGGTGTATTATGATTGCGAATAAGTAAGCTTAATTAGGAAGATAATCAGTTCCAAGTCATTTGTTTGGAATCAATTTATGTTAATTGTTAAAATTAGTTACTGAACTATGCTAAGAACTTTTACTTATTTCATTAAGTCTTCATAACCTATACCTACCTATATTTATCTATACCCGGTTACTAAATTAAGATGTTTTTTTACTTATAATCGCTAATTTATCAATATGCAATAATAATTAACAAAATTTAGCTATGGTTTGCACGTCCCAGCTCTTCTTCAGTTTTCCAACAATCTTTTAGGTAATCAGTTTTGGTTTCGATTCGATAAGTATAAACCGTCAATAACTAATAATAAATTGAATACTGTGAGATCTATTGTTTAATATTCTGATAGTAATCAAACGCATGACAAAATAAAACTTAAAGAAATTGTGTCACTAGTTGCGTTGGTAATGCTACATCACACTATTACAGAGCTTGAGGAGATAATCACGGAAATAACTGCGCCAGCTTTCTCACATGTCCACGTAAACAAGCTCAATACAAGCTTAATTGAAATTTATAACTCATTTCTCAGTATCAACAATCAATATTCTAAAATCTTGAAGCTATTCTCACATTGAGCATCCACAAACGAGTTCTAAGCGAGTATAATCGAACAATATAATGAAGGAGTAAAGGCAAACACAATTTCAATAACAAAGGGCAACCATGACAAATAAACATATTTCACGGGCCAAAATGGCTGCGGTCAGGTGTCACGAGGTGTCCCCCCCCCACCCCTTCCAGACCACCTCAGTCTCCCGCACAACACGTTCTTTTTCTTCACCAATAATCGATTCATTCTTTTCAATGCTATCCTTTTATATTTGTTAAGTTATTGCCCGTTTCTACACATGTTTCGTTAAAATGTTTTTGATATTGTCATTAGGTTGCTGTGCCAATAAGTAACCGACAACAAATATTGCACTGCCTCGATGGTGCAGTAGTAGCGTATGCGACTGCTGTGCTGTGGACTCGAGTTCGATTCCCGGGTCGGACTAAATGTTTGTATGATTTGCAAATATTTGTTTCGGAGTTTAGATGTTTTCTATATGTAATTGTTCTATGTGTAAAGTGTGTATTCAAAAAGTGTATCAGTATTCCATCAGTCAATATAGCTTTCATAGTACAAGCTCTGCTTAGTTTTAAACTAGATGGCGTTCTGTGTCAGATGCAGTTGACAAGAGTAGTCATTTGGACTAAGCGACCCTTGAACCTTGTAACCTTTGTAATAAAAAACGTTTTTTTTTCCATAAGTTTGACTATGACTATATTCTCACTATATTCGCTTTTGTATTTATGTATATGTACTAGAATTTTAGAAGTTTTTAGAAGTTTTTGAATTGCCTGAAATTTCGACCAGGTTGCTTCTGTTCAAAGCCTGACACCTTAATTGCAAGCATATCCATATTTGGAAATAGTGATTTTTTGATAGTGGTGAACAATTGGATTAGTTAAAAAATTGTGGATCATTGTTTGTGTTTTTTTTTTATAAATAAATAACTTAGGTCTGTTTAATATAATTTCTTTATAATTTGAAAATTACGAGTACTTCAAATAATAAAAAAATACACTTGAAAAACATTGCTTGATAACTTTAGATGAAAAAAGGATAAAAGTAGCTACACAAATTAAAAAATATATATTTAAATAATTATGATAAAAAAATCAATTTCATTGCACCAGTGCAGCATTCAATAAATAATGTGGCTCGATAACACGAAACGCTCATAAGTCAAAAATACAAGAAGTCAACGTACTTGCTTAAGAGTGGATTTAAGATAATTTAAGATGAAATTATTTATTGGGCTTCTGTCTCTCTCTGGCTTGGTGGAAGTTACTATTTGAGTTATATGGTGTTCTCGGTCGCTCTCACCATCGATCACCCGAGGTGTGACGTCACGCAGAGCCGTCGTGTGCGGCCTGGCTGAATTTATTGCGTCTGCGCAACATGCCACTATGGAAAAACTAAACGTTCGTTTATTTAATAACAATTCAATTATTTACCAAAACTTGTACACCCTATAATTAGTAATTTATGTCATAATCTAATCTTATTTTAGTAAGACTTAAAGCACACCTTTCAGGTTTAATTAGTTCTGGAGACCTCTCTGCTAGCGAGAAGAACTGCAAAATTATATAAATGTTCACCAGGCCAAATACCCATATATATATATACGTACCTATCTAAAATTTAACTAACAATAATACCTCTTTCTACAAAACATAAAAGAAACTTCAAAGCCCCCTAAATTAAAAAGTTAAATCTACGTAGGCACACACTTTGACATGAGTCAAACTCACACAGGGCAATATATTTTTACAATTAATTGATGGTTCAAACAAATTAATCGGACATTGAAATGTGGCAGATTGCCTATTCTTTGATATTTCGAGTTTATAGCCGCAACTACGGGCACGAATGTAAAGTAGACCTTATTCTCACCGTGGGTCCTGTCCGAGATTTGCTGGGTCGCCTAAACAGGGAAGCGTTCGACAGGCTCCCGAATTAAACCCATCTCACAGGAATTACTATCATAATGATATTAAACAAGATAAATCTCCAGTCAAAAGGCCATCAGTTGAAATGTGGATGTGTAGAATGTTGATAAAAGTAGTGACGGAGCTGGCAGACGATCTATACAATCTGCATACAATATCTTTCGTTGTATCAG